ATCTCGCCCTGATCCCAAGGTAAATATACTTCAGCCGGAAATCCAGGTACATGGGCTGTCGTTAACTGTCACATCTAGGAAATCTTGGAAGATCCCGGTTACAGTACGGAGTACACTTGTATATTACAGTATCACTTCTAACTTATACTCGTCCCCTGACCCCAGCCTTCCACCATGGACATATCTTCCGGTGCCCCACCAACCTTTCCAGCCCCGTCTCAGCCAAGTAACTAGGAGTCAGTAAACATAACTGCTACCTGCTGAGAAAAGATACGACAGGATAGGCATGGGTGGAGTGATGGGTAAGATCAGTATTGAAACTCACCAATTCTCACGACGAGCCAGTTCTCGGGTGTGCCGGGGCGCTAATGATTTCCCGTTGGGGCGATGCTTTGTCACGTCCTTTTGGCACTGATATAGGGCCACAGAGGAGCCAACTCTGCCTTACTCAGTAGCAGTGAGGAAATCAGATATACAAAAGAATAAAAGCTGAATTCTCACCAGTTGCTCATACACACAAAACGGGCTTTCACTCGCCTGGAGCCCAGGTATGGTTCAATACCGACGATGTCCATTACCCAGGGCCTTGAATCTCTTGCTCTTCAGGTATTATGGTATAGTTTTTGATCCGCTGAGCCATCCATAATCATCTCGGGTAAAGTCTACCTATTGGTATAGCTTTCCTTAAGCTATACCAGCTTCTCGGAATGATAGGCTGGAGCAACGGACACCTCATATTACCTCGTCTCCCTCAACAAATTCTCCCACGGCTAAGCTGCCTGACATTGTGTTGAGCGGATATGCACATATATGCGGCTTTCAGCCATCTACCTATACTGAAGACATAACTTCCAGTGAGTTGAATTATCAAAACAGTCGTGATTTCTCTGGCACCTTTTGACTCAAAGTGTGGTTATCTCCCTTGTTTGGGAGGTGAATTGCCGCGTTGTTTGTTGCATGGACATTCCTCAGTGCCCGTTATGTCATGAGACATCCATTGCTATCCTGGATGTCAGAGACATTCAAGTGCTGTGATTGCAGGCAACTCAGGTTGTGGCACGTATCGTCACGCCTAGCCAACACTAGTTCATGGAGCATATTCGACGTGGCCGAGTGTGTTTTGAACAGCGCCAGGGGTGTGATTAAATGAATTAGTGTCGAGTTCTTATCAATGCGGCTTGACTATGCATATTCCGGACCATTGACATGAAGGCCATCATCTTGATTGTGGTCCATCCATTGCACGGAGACCAAGGATTGGTTTGCTGTCAGTGCTGGTTACTGGTACTAAGAATCACAAATAACCACGGAGTACCAGGGGCAAAACCGCACGGTGCTAGCGACGAAATGCTCGCCTGCCCCTTTGCTTGGGCCGAGTGGCCGGCCTTCTGGAACCTATATATTGAACTGCCTAAGAAGCTGGGGCTGCCTGTCTGTTCAGGAACAGGCCTGTGGGCCCCACAATCGATCCAGAATTGCGCCCAAAAGAAAAAAGCTTCCGTGGAATGCATTTTCCTCACTGACGTTTTGCTGTCTGTGGTCCAGAAAGTTGGTGTTGGCGACGGCTTGTTCGTAATTAATCGTGAGATCATGAACATACCTATCTGGTACTTGTCTTCTCTTTCTGTGTTGGTTCTGAGATACAAACCGAGGCCTCATGCTTCAACTGACGATGGCAGCCTTTGGCGTTCTTTACACGTTGGCCTTCCGCCTTGTCGTTCCCCTTTTGCCGGTAGGTGCATTTGTTGTTTTCTTTCTGTGCTAGGTGGCAGCATCACAGAATTTGGATACATACCTTTGTTCGGAGTGATCCTGGTAAGCGACACACTTGTTCAGTGGTTGAAGTCCTTCCAATGATATCGGCATGATGCAGGGCAGTCACCAGCGAAGCAGTTATTGGCTGTAAACCAGCGACCAGCAAAATCAGAGTCACAACTCCAATGCTTTTCTTTCTTTCTTTTGAGTGGACTTAACTGGGTTGCTAGTCAGTGCTTGTATCTATACCTCCCTTCGATAACGTGGCTCTTGAGGAACCTAGGGGAGAGACCGTGCATGTTGCACCATCTTGCTATGGTGCTTATCATGTCAAGACAGTTTCGACCATACACACCAAGATTTCTGATGGGCGGAAGTGGTCTTTGGTCTCCTTCCTAGGAGCCTACATAAGTAGGTAGATTTTGTTCGTCACTACGGAGTAGCAAACACCAAAGCAATGCAAACCTTGAACAAAATGGGCCACGGGGGTTTCGGGGGTGAGTGAGGTAAGGTAACCGTTGGAATAGTACATACATACATACGGGTATCCAGGTCAGGGATGTTATACATGGTGTGTGTCCTCTTCTCCGTGGTGCCGTGCATGGATACCTAGTCAGGTAGAAACATGTACCTGCTTCCTTAGCACCAAAGCCAAGACATGGCACCCGTCCTGTTGGCTGTTCCCCAGGTTTTGTCGCTTTTGCCCTTGCTAAGTTGTTGACTTGTTATGTCGTCGTCTCACAGGCCGGCTCGCCCTGTCAATGCCGTTCGCTGACAACGTATTGACGGCGTCGGTACCGTGCAATGGCAGTGACGCCCTTGTCTGCCCTGGCTTTCGTTGGGGCCTTGGTTGGTATTCGTTCAATTCAGGCCCAGGTTGGGTTGTGAGATGAGGTACCTGGACTGCGTTGATAGTACGGCACGGGTACCTCAATTATCTCATCCCATCCTATCCCTACCTAGGTAGGTATCGTTTTTCTCCGTCCCTAGCAATGTCTCTCCCCTTTATAAACTGGCCGTCCGCACTCTTCTCCGGATTGTTCATTTCCTATATGTTACCTACCTTTAACCTCACCTGGGCAACTATCTGAGAAGCTTAAACTAATCTTTTATTGCCTCACCTTTGACCGTGGCCGCTTTGCATACACGCAAGATCTTTCAGTTGTTTTCACTTAGACCTTGAAAGTCCTGGTCTCATCCTTGCAACAGCAACCATTAGCCGATATCCCGGCTGCTGAGATACCCCTTCCCTGGCGACCTCGAGGCCTAAGGTCAGCGCAGAAACTTTGAATAAGGACGAAGAAAAGAGAAGCAAGAAAAGAGAGACAGCAAAAAGAAGCATTGCTACCAGTGCACGCTCGAGCCTAAAGATACGATATCCAGACCTGACGTGTGTCACAAAGTCATACTGCGGCTAGCTCCGTCACATATCCACAGTTTACGCAAGCTGCTTTGTTTCTATTCTGGTATGTACTGTATCTCTTGACTTCTAAGTCAGCTTCGCCCGCATCAATGGATCTTCTTTTAACAGCGAATTCGCCCAGAAATCTTACTCTGTTTCTTGTCTTCTGAATCGAAAAAGGAAGATGCCTGGTCAACACTCGTCCTCAATCCAGGGTGCGCCTCGCAACATGAGAGTCGTCACTTCGCAAGACCTCCTCTATACCAGTATCACTGCTACTCTTTCCACCAAAACGAACCGCCCCTCAACTCCAGTTCATCACATCCAAGAGGATGACTATACCGTACCGGCTCCTCCCCCACCCAGTCCTGTTAGCTTTAGGCCCGAACGTTGGGCCACGTCTGGCCGCCGTTGAGCTGTAAGTCTTCTAGCTGCCCGGAGAAACTTAAATTGCTCAGGCGAAGCCTCGTTACCCATGTACCCCGTTCATACTCAAAATGGCCTTTTTTTCTGTTTTGCCTTCAGAGAATATTTCATTGCTTTGCAATTTGTTCTGCCGGCGTTATCGCGATATCATATTAGTGCACTCCGGAGTCTTGGTACAAATCAAATAATTGGGGTACGAAGTGTTGTTTTTTATGCAAGCCACCACGAGGACCATGGATTTTGTACAACGGCGCATTTGTTTTATCCAAGGAGCAAGCAAGGTTCTATAGCTAGGTGCCGTTCTTCATATCTCTTCTAGAAGATCAATCATGTAATAGCTGTCACTTGGTCCTTCTGAAATATTGTGAATGAGGCTGGAGAGCTAACAATTACTGCCGCTCTTGTACTATATGAACACAATGCTTCGAGAAGAGATATAAATGTAATCATGTGTACCCCAGCGGTATTATGACATCCACTACTGCTCAGAATCAAATAACGCTGGTTGACCTGCTGGACCACCATAGTACACAGAAAGGTTGAGCTGCCTTCGGACTACCCCAAATACTCTAGATATATAAGTAGTATGCTTGTCCATCAGGCCACTACATCAAAATTAACTTAATTTAGTCTTGTAAAGGAACAGTTTTACTGGTAATAAGTCAGTGTTGGGGGATCATGGCTAGGGTTATGTACAAAGACGTTCGTGTTGCCCTTGCATTTAGGGCTACAGGCAGACTTTAGCACTTATACCGTCTTTCGAGGCCATAGAGACATAGGTATGGAAGGTTTAGGACATTTTATTCCTATAAAAATGTCATCCCCACCGTAGAAGCATAGTGATATCAGTTGTGCCTGAGATACTGATTCGTATCGACACCTCGGACAGGGCAGAACTTGACCAAATTAGGCAATGGGAGCCGAGATGCAAACCTGCATACAACAGCACCGGCATAGGTAGGTACTAAGGTAGATAGTATTAAGGTAGGTAATACTTCTGAGGTATTAAATTAGTACACACCTACAGCAGCTTAACATCGCATATGCGAATACTGGGCCTCAGCTGTCTGTAGGTACTTTACCTAGAGTGGTCCATGCTTAACTTTATTCGCGAGTTTGTGGAACAGCTTTACGCGTCTGGGACGCGGCGAGCACGCCAGAACGCGCCTAGATCTTCGCGTTCCCCTTGACGACGGAGCACATTCCATCTTTCTGTGGATATGACTTCCACTTTCCAAGACATCGCCTCTACTTTCCCAATCTTCGCAATTTTCTTCACTGCAACTTCCGTGATCGGGTCTTTTCACTTGATGACCACGACTTCCTTTCTTGCAAAGATCGTTCTCGATATTTTCTCATCTGCTCCTTCACTTAAACTCGCTTCCTCACGTGTTTCAACTCTCACAGAAACTTGAGGATGCCTCGACCGGCCAGGCGCAACCAAGCTGCCCTTTCTGCTAGCCATTCTATTACCAACTTCGCCCGTGTCTCAAAAACTTACACCCCAAACGATAATACCAAGAAAATTGTCGCCCAACCTGCATCTTCGGTAATCACCAGGAAACGAAAAGCGGCCACAGATGGAGAAGATAACCATCCGAGAACCAAGGCTCGGACTGCCTCGTTCGCACCCAGTAGTGACGATGAACTTGCCACGCCCATAAAGCCCATATCAAGAAACCAAGAACTGGCTATGAACCATGTTGAAAAGAATGTACCAAAAGGGAAACGAACTGCAAAGGCAACTCCCTCAAGGGCGAGAGCTGCCCACAAGCCCATAGGGACCACACCTCTTTCTGAGGGCAAGAGGCAAGGAAATACAGTGCAAACCAAGCTCGACAATGTCTTCAAAACTCTGCGCAAGCAGACGGTCGACAAGGATGCACTTCCTCTCCATCTTGCCGAGCTCGTTGACATACACCGGTCGTTTGTGAAGACAATTATGATCCAATTTGCTCATAACGGCAACAATTCACCTATTGATATACGCACACTTGCGCCACACATTTCTCAGACGTGGGGTAAACGGCATGTCACTATCGAGGATATCCGACGATGCATCGCTATACAAACTTCGACAAAAACCAACTCTCGTTCACCATTCATAATTGCCGACTATGGCCGGGGAAAGATTTGTGTTGAGCGCTCTCCTATCGACACGGTACCAATCCATGAAGAGCGTTTGCTGAAACAATTTGAGATCAATTTGAGAGCATTGGGCACCGAACGGTCTGCTGATGAAATGGACATTGACCTTCCGTTGGGCAACCTCTCGCTGAACGAGCTTCCGCAAGTAGAGATAAAGAACATGGACAACAGAACAACAGCGAATCCAATTCTCAACAAAGGACAGCGTGCGTTGTCAGAGCTCAAGAGTGGCATTGTGACGAAGCAGTATGAGAAGGCAGCAAGACAAAACACGGCATCCAACAACCCCCTCCTCAACCCAGATGGCACAAAGATGAGCCTGCTTGATCGGTTACGATTAAAACAATTAGCTAAAGCCAACGAACCCCTTCCCCCTTCTGGGCCCGAGCTTCAGCGACGTGCGGCCCTCAACCGCGTGGGCGATGTTGCAGCAACCATTTCAATGCTGAGCCTATCCAACCCTATGTCCCTACCACGACAGGCTTTTACGATGGCAGTGATACTCGAGAAGCTCAAAGACTCTCTCCGGGTTCCGGTTTCCAAGGAGGAGGGGGCAGCTTGCGTGCGTTTGATTGCCAGCGATGTCGCCCCGGAATGGCTTCGAGTCGTTACCATCGGAGGCAGAGAAAACGTGGTTGTGCAGCGTAGCAGTCAACCCGTCGACAGAGTACTACAGAATCGTGTGCAGAAGTTGTTGGCCTAGGAAGAATGACGGAGGAACTGTTGGACGCATATTTAGATACGAGAATACCCTGGGGAGGCATGGCTTTTCGGTGAGACTACTGGACAAGCATATACACAGGCATTGGGAGGAGTTGGCGTTCTAGCATCTGATTCTATGACAGAACTTGTATTACAACTTGGGTGTTTGCTTGTAGGCGCTGTAATAAGAATAAGGAACAAGACTAAACAGAGATTTGATCCGCTAAAAACCCATCGACCAGCCTTGTATCTACCTGTCCGTACCTATGCTAGAGTTGTTTAGGCAATCTTGTCATCCCGGAATGCCTGAACGGTAACCCCCGAACAAAAAGTGGGTTCACAGTGACCCGTATCGGAAGCACCATTCCGACCCGGCAGACCGCACCCGAAAACCAGCGCCGATGTCCGGTTTATTCCCAAAAACAACACAGAATTCAGCGTAAGAAATTGCGCCGGAATGCACTCCGAATTCTCAAACAGCCACTCGCAAGTGTCCCCAGTCCTGAGGACTCCAAGTGACGCGTTTCTTCCGTTTGGTCATGGATGTCGGTGTTCGGTAATGGAGCTGATCGTGAATAGATGCGATGTGGATATACAGACACATCAGGCGACTATACATGTATGCATTAATGTGATCGATCACTTGGGCTCAAGAGTGATGAAGAAGTGGAGAGGGGATGATCCCATGTATGGTGCTGCCTTTGCTAGCATGTAATAATCGAGAGCTCTTAGGGACGAAGTCTGCATGTTCCTCGTGTGGAGCTTTCGTGTGCCAATATGCCTTGTAGGTGCTGATCTTTCATCGCGTTTGCTTTATTGCTCTGACTTCATATATATCTAGGAAATATTGACTTGTTTAATTATTTTTGTTTGAAGCGGGAATGTAAATCCACATTCTTTCCGGAACCCCAAATCAACATTTAGAGCCCACTGATTACCATGCCGAAGATATTACATGATTCAGAGGATGAAATCTCATCATCTGCCATGAGCGAGGCAGAATCTTCTCCACAGACTGCAGCCCGAGACCCAACCCAAGATGCTATCAACCGCACAATATCACACATATCTGGCCACGATGCGTTCGAACCGGCTGCCATCATCACTGCGTCAGATGGCAATGTGCCTTACCGCGAGGCAGGTGATGAGATCTTTGACAAAGTTTCCTCAAGACGCAAAGTTGCTATCGTGACCGTCCTGTCATTTGGGGCGTTCCTATCGCCAATATCGAGCACTTCAGTGTTAGCAGCGACACCAGAGGTTGCGAAGACTTTCAACAGCACGGGAAGCATTATAAATCTCAGTAATGCAGCTTATATGATTGTTATGGCGTTGTCACCTTTATTCTGGGGACCCATGAGCCAGGTTTATGGAAGGCGGAGTGTAAGTGCTTGTGGTGAGCCTCAGTCGGTGAGGCCAACTCGTTTCCCGAATTTTGACGCAGTGCCCATAAGAGCAGGAGAAACACTGACATTTCCACAGGCAGCCTTGTCTTCTTCAGCTATTTTCTTCTTACTCAGCCTAGCCACTGCATTGGCTCCTGACCTCACTTCGTTTATTGTCTTTCGGGCAGCTTCGGCGTTTGGGGGAACAGCTTTCATTCTCATCGGCCCAGCCTGCATTGGGTAAGTTGCCAGGTTTTCCATTCTTCTACTTATAAACTGCCCCATGCCCTTGAAAGAACCCCAGGCGAAAGGTAAGACAGTGAGCCATCTTATTGGTGACCGTAAAAATAACCTCGACTTGTCAGTATTTATGCTCTGAGCAACCAACCTCTGAGTCTGGTTGTTTACCCAAATGACCAGCTCGATCTTCACGGAGCTTCAATAGCAACGAGTGCTATGCGAATCATTAATGCTGACAAGAAATAGTGACATTTACCGTCCAATAGAGCGCGGTGCAGCGATGGGATGGTTTCTGACCGGCACACTCGTTGGTCCTGCATTTGGACCATTTTTGGGTGGCATTATTGTAACATATTCGTCCTGGAGGAGTATCTTTTGGCTTCAGACGGGACTGGCTGCTACCGGGGTACTCGGCGTGTACTTTGTTGTATGCGAAACAGCTCATCACCTCAAGATCAACGATCTGAAAAGCCTCTCGGGCAAGAAAAGAACACTGAAGGTTCTCGGCATGATCAGCCCGATGCGAGTCTTACGACTATTTCGATTCTTCAATATTACGCTGGTGGCATGTGGTAGTGCATCCTTAACCTGGAACATGTACAGCCTCCTAACACCGGTCCGTTATGTTTTGAATCCACGCTTCAAGCTCGACTCGCCGTTGCTGTCGGGTCTGTTTTACCTGGCACCCGGCTTCGGTTACCTGGTAGGGACTTTCGGAGGGGGGCACTGGGCGGACATGATGACCAAGCGATGGATCAAGAAACGTGGAGGTGTCCGTATACCGGAAGATCGACTTCGATCTACTCTACCTTTCATGGGCGCAATCATGCCGGGAAGCATGCTGGTATATGGCTGGACTGTCGACAGGGAGGTTGGAGGTATTCCGGTGCCTGTCATCGCCATGTTCGTACAGGGCGTGGCGCAATTGTTTTGCTTTCCCTCGTACAACACTTACTGTCTCGACGTCATGCCTGGCCATGGGGCAGAGGTGGCTGCAACCAACTTTTTCGCAAGATATCTGGTTGGTTGCATCGCTTCAGCCGTGGTTCTACCAGCTGTCGAGGCTGTCGGCATTGGATGGTTTTCGACCATCTCAGCAGCGTATTTAATAGGCTCAGCTCTGGCTACCATGGCTGCAATTCGATGGGGGAAAGGCTGGCGGGAGAGAACTCAAGCAGGGCTAGAGGGTCCTAAGGAGGATGAGAACGAGGCCAAACCCGATCATGATATGGATACAGATCGACCCAAAAGCGCTCAAGTATTGGGACCCAGCTTCGCGTCTGACAGGAGTGGTCCAGAACAGCAGAGCCAAAACATAGGCCGTGAGACTTGATTCTTGCAAAGGAATGGGACTAGATAGGGACAACTTGCGGAGACATCATTGGTCAGATATAGGCGCAAGCTGTACCGAGGATAATGAGATTGAATGGCCAGCATTTGGAGCAGAACTGAGAATCTAATAAGGGCATAGAAGTGAAGTGGTTAAGTTGTTTCGCATTTCTGTGAGCCTTGATTTTCCTACAAATAGGGCTGTCGCTTCAGATGACCTAGTGGAAAATAAATGGACGGCAAAGATGTTGCATCCATGGACCATCGATTGCATGTGACAGATACAATTAATATATTATGATGCAATGCATCATGGGAGAAATGTCAAAGTTTGCCGTTCACCCCAGCCTTATTCAGATAGGAACCGAAGAACCTAGGGGGTAAGAATAAGCCAGCCATACAATGTTTTCCCCGTTGGTACTGTTACACTACAGGGCCTTGATATTACCGCTAACTATTACCTATTTGCTGAAAGATGTAACCGACCGATAACTGTATCAACGCAAGCCATGTTGTTTGGTGGCATCTTTAAAGTGGGAAGGGTGTAGTATATAGAAATGTATGCACATACAGAGTGTAGCAGAAAGATAACGCAACCTTAACATTAGGCTTAACTAGTGTTGGGCTTACCATGGGTTTCCAGTATGTGCTCGTTGTTTTCTTTGAATTCAAGGTTACATGGTACTACCTTGGCCTCAACGTACGTCTTGGCCTGTTGGCCTATGCGATACGATATGATTCAATAGGGTTAAGGGAACGATACATGAACACCTTGCAAAACGCAACAATGCCTTTTCTCTTCCTGTCGAGTTCGTGCGAGCAACGCAATGCAGCATAACGAGCTACCTTGTAATAGTATGGGCCTCTGTTGGGTGAGATTTTGAGGGATTCCGGCCCGCAAGTCAATCTCAACCCCAGTTGAGTTAAGTGGTTGATATGAGAAATTCCTAGCTCAAGACGCCAAAATAAGTTGATAACGATGCAGGGCTGGTCAATTGGCGCGTGGTGACTGGTCAACACCAGCTTTTTCAACTTGGCCTTACCGCGAGACCCGCTCCATTTGAAATGACCTTGCATAGCTTTGGAGATTGGATTCTCACAACGGCTGCCTCTAGTATTAATTGGGATTGGGGACTTTAGGAAATGACCACGACCCAGTCAATCATCCTCAGGTAGCGATAAACTTGCTAATTGCCAAGGAATATGTTGATCAGAAAATGGCGGGTCCTCTTTTGATGTAAGTCAAACGCTCGCTTAAGAATACGAAGGCATCGGATCTCAAATATCAAGCATATTCAAGGTAATAAAGAACCATAGTGGATACGATAATGCATTATACTTTTGCAACGACATCGGCACAACCTCAAGTAGACTCGGGAAACCCCCCACACCATAGTCAGTGGTACAATCCCCAGTCAGCAAGCCCACCCTGTGGCAGCATAATCGCCAGCAAGACGTTACACGGACGAAACACGAGAACGGGGACATTATGTGAAGGGTTTCCGTCGTGGAGCATATACCACAGTGATATCTACCACGTTGCGTGGTGCATCTCCAACAATAGAACATGCTGAGTCACGGGCGGTTCCGGCGGTTTTGTTCATATCCACAGACAAAATAATACCGGTACATCGTAGTGAACGATGAGCTAATTAACAAGTCAGCGATTTGCAACATCTTCTTGTTACTCCGTAAGCAGAAAGAACCTGACTACCTTAGGCAAGGCGATGCATGCGTCTGCAGAACTGGTTCGCTCGCCCCTTGCACGCACTAAAACGCCCGGCTGCTGACTTCGTGTCAGCAAGTGAACAGCCCTTGGCAATCTATTGCTGCTGACCTTGGTCCATCTGAGATAACAGGTGCTGCTTATTATTGTCAACTTTCCTCGCCAGCCCCCTGTCGCGAAACTTCATTTGGAGGTGGCACCTGTGGCGTTGGCGACTTCTCGCGATGCAACCATGGCCAAAAGCTTGGCCAAGAAGACAGTTCAAACTTCAACGGTCATGGATCCTCGCCTCTACTGAATCGCAGAGCAGGTTGGTTGAAAATGAGTGAACTCACCGTTGCTCTACTGTGTGTAGAATCAACTAGATGTGCATTTATTAGACCACGGCAGACTAGATGGCTAATCGCGAGATTCTGTAAAATCAAATCGGTACGCTGGCCGACCCTGAAAAAGGCCGACAGTGGGGGTCAGGTTGCTATTCTCAGATTGATGTTGACGTTGACGTTGTCTTGGATCGGATCGGCATACAAGGCTTCGCAACCAACGTTACAGAATGAAGCAGTGTCCATCAATCTCCAACAGTTTTACTTGGTACAATTCTCCGTTATGAATGTCCACAGTCACAATAAACCATTTGACACCCGAGGAAAAGAAATAATTGGAGTAGACCCTGAGGACGCGTGGCGAGAGGACCCTCGCCCATCGTGTGTCCCTGTCCTTCGACTGGACGGAAGGGGGCGTGGCTGGGGGAGAGAATCGGGGTTTGCGTAGATAACATTCACCGACTCATGTCTTTAGTCTGATTGCTCAGCAAAAGATTCTAAACCGACGACATCGATCTATGTCGCAAGAAAGGGATTGTTTCAACGGCTTGTCGTCGATTCAGAGCTAATTTACTACTGTATAATTGGAGTGACGACTTTTCGGAAAGGGTCGAAATGAGATGCCAACAAGCATAAAAGAGGAGGGTCGCTCTCGGCACTCATTTGCCAGTGAGACATGCCTTGAGCCCATTGACTTCCAGGCTGGTCTCTAGCTGGAGATCTCAGCATAGAGGTAGGTACACACGGCTGACGTCGCAGTGTGACAGGGACAGTTCCGAGTTCTATGCTTGATGCCTCTTCTAGGACGCAAAGCAAGAGCCGCGCCGGTGATGGGTTTGTCGATTGACAGGCGGCTGAGTCCATGGTCTCGAATCAGACGCCGATCAGGAGTTGCAGGACGCGCAACCACCGCCAGAGGCAAGCATGGCAATGTTTGAGCTCAGAAGGTTCATGATTGACAAAGTGCGCCATAATCAGCCACGAGAGCCTCTCCCTTCTCTAACAATAGGGGCGGACTGGCCCTCGCTCGGAGACCCACGGGCCCATGTTCCATGGAGCCCCCAGTGCGCGTTCTAATCTTTCTGATTGGGATGGAGGCGACAGAACGTTGCTGGGATATGGCGCAATGACAGGGGATGCAAGGCTTGGGTCAAGCAAGGACTCAAGGCTTAGCTGGAAGTGATTGCCATTGACTGTTCCTGACAACCATTGTCCTGCCCTCTCGTCGGTAGAGAATACGGAACGACTAGCGAGGCATCAGAAGCCCGTCTCCAGGACAGCGGTAGCGATGGCGGCAGTAGAGCTGGCGATGACATTGTCATGTCCATAGCAATAACGGCCCTGTTGATTGTTTACAACGTAGAGCTGCAACGGATTGGTTCCCAAGGCCATCGATAGTACTGTATGTCAGATCAGCGGGGACTTGCCAAAATCCAAATTGCTCAGCCAATTGAGTATCAGATAAGCCCCGAAGGCTTTTGATTTCGATCGTTGGTTGGATATTTGAAGGATACAGTGTTTCTCATTGGACATCTGTCCCCACCCCCGGCAACACCGTCTAATAGAGCGTCAAGGGAAAAGGCCTTGTTCAAGGTGTTGATTCGGCAAAATCTAGGTAGGTACCTTTTGGTGCTGAATGCGAGCTGAAGAAGTTGCCAGTGAACCACTTATTGCCGTTTCTGGGGCTTTTGGTATCCAGTCTCTAAAGCTTGAATGGAGCCTTGTTCCAGTCCAAATTCTTCGATGTTCTCCAAATGCCTGACGTTGACCCAAGTTCCCTGGGCCCCTTGTCAGTAGCGAGACTTGGCTTTTTTTGGAAGTGTGTACAAGCTTCCCTGCAGGCCTAGGTGGTCTCGAAACTGAAGATGAAGACACCTTACATGTACTGTCCGACATTCACTGTGCAGCGTAGGTACAGTTTGCGCATCCCCAAAAATCCTAGGGTCTCTGATATCAGTGGGTTATTTCCTTCCTCTTTCTTTTGAGCCCCGAGTCTCTGCCACAGGTCTCTCCTCGTGAGCTCTCAACACTGCCACCTACTTGTGATCCGTCGAACGCTGTTTTGGATGGGCGCTCTTTACATCAGCTATAAACATCCTGTTTGCAGTCGTGCGTCCCGGGCTCTCCGGGGCATAGGTGAAGTTCTTGAGCGCCTAGGCGACGACAGCCACCAGATGCAGGTCTAAATTAGAGAGGCCTTCAGTCAAGAAGATGGGTGCAAATAACACAGTACAATGTGCATCTACAGCACATACGTACCTCAGGTAGGTATGAGATAGAAAGTAAATGTCACCTACAGAAGACTGTCCCTGCTCCCTACTGTAAAAATGAGGTTCCATAGGTAGGTAGCCATACCCCTTCCACTATCCATCCTTCCCGGTCCCTTTAGCGGAGCCCCGTACCTAGCGGGCCCCATCCGTAGGTACATCCGAGCTGTACTGTGCAGTAGGTAGAGACCTGCCCCGAGTGCTTTCCTCCCTCGTCCCCCTATCGCCCTTTGCAAGGTCCTGGATAGCAACCCCTTGTCCCGTGTCCATAATCCCCTGCTCTCGCCTCTCCTCTCCTGGCCTGGTCTGGCTTCGCTTTTTTTTTTCTCCCTCCTATCTCTTCTTGGTCAACTTCTTTTCTCTTACTCCCCCCTCCTTTCTTTTCCCCCTCGTCAACGCCTTCGCTCATCGCTCGGCCTGTTCGTCACTCTCCTCGACGCCCTCTTCTTCTAATCGCAAATTCGACAAGCACCGTTCCCGTGTTGCTTCAATCGCTTGCGTCGCGCCGTGCGATTGTGCTGTTCAGCCTCACCTCCTTTGATCTCACTGCCGTCGTCTGATGACGAGGTAGTCTTTTCACCTGCTCATCCTCCGCCCTTTATCGGATAATATCTTTCGTCGACTTACCTTCCAGGATATCTCGACGACTGCCAGTCGTTACTTTCACCTGCAACCTGTTGAAATAAAACCTTCGATGTCGGCCGGCTCCACTACGACTTTCGCTCCGCATACAAGTTAATTTTCGCCATCACCTGTCTCAACCAGTAAATCTTACCATCCCACGCACCCGCTGTACAAACTCCTGCGAACCGACAACCCCTCGGCCTAAGCGTGCCATACTCTTCAGCCTAGTATGCAGCGGCGCCATTCAGTCACCATGGCCGCCCGCAACAACAATAATTCGCGAGGCCCATCGGGCAGGAAGATCGATCCTCTTCTCCCCTATTCCATCATTTCAGAAAAAACGAAGAAACCCAGACTTCGTATGCGATCACTTCTGGGCCCCTGCCATGCCCGAAGGGTGTTGACCTGGCTTTTTGGCGTGGCTGTGCTCATCACCCTGGTTTTTGTAAAATCCCGAAATTCTGGCTACAGTGTTGGAAAAATGAGCGGCACCAAGACTCAGCAACCCATTGCGACCGCCACCGTCTTGAACACACACGGCGAAACTGTTGTAATGCTCACCGGTGATATGGATGGTGATGGAAAGCTCGAAACCGTTCCTGAAAACGAATATGTTACTGCTGATGAAAAGAAAGAAGTTGCTGCGCAACTTGAGAAGATGCCTTGGTTGAGATTTCCTCAGTACGTTGAACAGTCTAGTTTAATACTTTTACTAACTATGTATTCAGCCTCGACGGGTACTTCCACGGTCTTCGGACTATTGTCAGCAAAGCCAACCTTGTTCCCGAATATCCCAATATTACTGATAAGGCTCCGATGCCCTCTCCCACTATGAGCGATCATGTGCCTAAGCCTCAGAAGTACATTCCTTACGACCATGGCAGTGATGTCAAGACCTGCTATCTCGATTCCAAGAAAACGGTGCCTGCTCCTGATCTGTATGCTTACAATGGTGTTCCTCAGCACATGCCGGATCCCGCCATCGGTTCGTACAAGCTCCTCGGACTCAGGGACGACGTCTGTTTCGATCGTTTCAGTCGGTATGGACCTTACGGCCTAGGTTATAGCAGAGCCCAGGGTGGTCTAGATACTGGCTTGGACACCGAGGCGTCTGGTAACGAGCATGTTTGGACAGAGACTGGGAAAATCAACTACATCGATGTCAACTGGGCAGATGCACAGGAAGATTGCTACAAGGCCAATAAGCATAGATTCAAGCAGGTCAACCCTGACACTCAGGAACTCTCGGAGACAAGCGACAAGAAGGGACGCATTGCTGTCGTCGTTCGAACATACACCGGCTTCAAGTGGACTGAACTAGCTGTGCTGAACTTCCGGGCGCTCATCAGCGAGCTATCCTTGCGATCAGGTGGTGAATACCAGGTTCACTTTCTGATGCAGGTGCGAAACATTGATGAGCCCATCTGGTCTGATAGGTGGACTGTACAGCGTATCATCAATGACAACGTCCCTGCTGAGTTCCGAGGCCTAGTATCGCTCTGGAGTGAGCCTCAAATGAGACTCATGTACCCCGGACGATTTGGCGAGACGATCGAGAACCCCAGTGGTGCCGATATCCACGGCATCTACCGTAGCGCCCACTTCCCCCTCCAAGTTTTCGCTATGCAACACCCCGAGTATGAACACTACTGGAACTGGGAGATGGATATGCGATATCTGGGCAGCTACTACGAATTCTTTGACCGCCTAGGCAAGTGGGCCAAGGAGCAGCCTCGAACCCTTCTCTGGGAACGCAGCGCTCGCTACTATATTCCTCCCTACCATGGCACTTGGGAGAACTTTTCTCAAACTGTGCAGCAAGACACTCTGGCCTCAGGTCGCGCTCCCATCTTCGGCCCGCTATCGTTCGAGGGCAAGGAACAGCTACGACATGATGAGTGGGGTCAGTCGATGATGCCCCCTTCATGCAGTTCTGATGCTCCCGATCGATCCAAATGTGGCGTTGGTGAAGAGGCTGATATTATCACTCTTAACCCACTGTTCGACACTGAGCAATCTGGCTGGGTCTTCTCGGATGATGCTACAGGTTACAAGGCTCCTCCTCCGCGACGATGCGCCATCATTACTGCATCGCGTCTCAGCCGACGTCTGCTGATGTCCATGCATGAAGAGGTTTGGCGATACCACCATACCATGTTCTCCGAGATGTTCCCTCCAACGGTTGCTCTGCATCATGGTATGAAGGGAGTGTACGCCCCACACCCAATTTTCCTCGACCGAGCCTGGTACCCTTTCAGTGAAATTGATGCAGCCTTCAACGCTGGTCGTGATCACTCGACATCTGGTCCTGGCAGTCCCTTTGACCAACTCAACGAGCATAATCACAAGGGCACCAGTTGGTACTTTAACAGCGAGTTCGCTGGTCTGATGTGGCGCCGATGGTTGGGCTATGCCCAGCTAGATGGCCGTGGCAAGCATGGAGGTCGTGCCAATGAGGGACGGGAGAGAGGTGGCAAGACAGAAGAGATGAACGAGAACAGCAGCGGCCGGTTGTGTCTGCGTGGTATGCTGGTGCATCCCATCAAGTTTGAACATCCTTCAGAGAAACCTTGAGTCTAGGGACGCGAGACCGAGTCCCTCTTCAACCTTGTCGCCGTCATGAGCAAGGCGACGCTACATGTCCTCCCTCTACCAGCGCACACGACAGACATCACCACGCACATATGCATTTGCAGGAGCATCTGTACAAATATACCCACGACTACTGAATGGCAAGACATCCGATTCCTAGTACCACCATGACGATGAGGGAGATGACGCGATTTCTATGCATCCATTTTATCCAGTTCCTTCCTTCGTCCGGCTTGCATTCCGTTTACGGACCCAGCGAACTTGTCCTAGAACTACCTAGACACTTTATTATTTGAACCTTATCATACCTTACTTATTTCTTCACTTCCAATGTTTGGGTATTCTCTCGGCCAACGGTTTCCAGAACATGGTCCTAATTCGCCCCTCTCGTCTTGGCTGGGAATCATTCGAGGTTGTCTGCATCTTTGAAACCCAAAATTCTCTGTTTTCAACTTGTCTGTTAATTCTCTGTTCTTTTTATTTACTTTAGTTTTGTCACTCAATCAGTGTGGCATGTCGTTTCTGGGTACGAGGCATCCAGGACCAAACGCGGAAGGGTTCTCCGCGCATGCTACGGGGCGTTCTGGACCGGGGGATTTTGGGAAGACAAATGTGAACATGGTGCGACTTGTATAGATTCAATCTAGTATTAGAGGTGGCAGTTTGGTGTGAAATTCTAACTGGGTTTGAAACCAACCTTTTGGTTTGATTGTTGGTACTCGTAATATAGGCCAGACGTTGCTCAACAGACGACATCCGAAGTAAACTTAACTTGTCTCAGTTTGGGTGGCGGTTGGTTCCACGATAGAGCCACATGTCTTTCCCCCTGCTTAGAGGCATTTAACAACGAATCTAGGTGCCTCATGTGCTGCGTCCTCAAGTCAACTTCGGGCAAATGTAAATTCGCTACAAAATACAGAGAAATGGTCAGAGATCAGGGGCCAAACTTTACACGTGAGCTGTTTCGACACCGTAAGGTATGTGGTAACCCACACTATCCATTGGATTCTTAGGACAGCTTTGTTAGTAGAGGTAAGGTACCTAGGTAAGCAACAGTCATCGATCCGTTTCCACATAGTCCGTTTGATTTCGACGTGAGTTTATGAACCGTCATATCACTTGAAGCTATATTTGCCCCGTAAGTATCAGTAGCGAAAGGGAGGCGTCTCTTGTCCTAGCTCATTCGTGGTTCAGATCTTGCAAGAAGGTGATGGGATGTTGTTTGCGCAAATCATTCTGACACATAGATTCATCTCGAGGAACAGTATCCTCTTGGAATGCAAGAGGTGTAGAAGGAGAGTCATTGAGGGCATATTATCTGTTCATAATTCGAAAGTCCCTACTATAAGCTAAGCCATCATCCATTCAATTGAGAGCGCCTTCTTCCAACTAACCGGTCTCCATGTCCCAACTCAGAATGACACCAAAATATCAATCTAAAAGAACCAAATGCCAGGTCCAGGCTGGCCGTCAATATAGTATAGAGCAATATGCGCTCGCCATTTCGTGCGTTGCCGGGGAATTCCTTGCCCCGTCACTCACATTCAACTTCGTTCAACGACAAAGGGCTGTTGAACGATTCAGACGAGCAGGCAAAGGCGCATCACGAAGACTTGCTTAACCCAAAAGTACCATCTTCAAGAGGCAAAGACAAGAGAACACAGTTATCCTCGAGGTATCAAAATCCCTTGACGCCTTCAACACTCAAAACCCCACCAACGCCATGACGCCCAAATGCAAGTTCCCGAGTTACGGCAAGACTGAATAACTCAAGCGAGTGTCGCTAAGTATACGAGCGATATGGGTTGCTCGTCATCTCTGCTGCTGTCTCCCAAATCGTATATGAGGTTGCTGAGGATCAGAAACCCTGGATAATACCAGGCTCTCCTCGAAACATCTTACTTCCTCAGAACGGCATCATAAATGCTGACCACGGCAGTGACAGCGGTACCGGTCAGGATACCCTTATAGCCGCCATAGATGGCGTTCTCGAGGCGCATTATAGACAGGTCATTCAGAAGACCGCCAAAATTAACGCCTTGCCCGTAAACAACGAATGAAACCAAGGCTTTGACGATGCTGAAAGTCAAGGGATCGACAACATAGTCCGCATGGCTTGGGCGAGGGCGTCCGCGTGAAGGTGGGGGGCTTGTCGCGCTCAGGTTGAAGAAGTAACCAGCAAAGGAGGGGATGATGACGCTGGTCAGTATCCAAGTCAAGGCTGGAGACCAAAAGCTAGACGTCAGAAGAAGGAACATATCGGGAACATAGACAGGGTAGTCCGATGTACCGAGTGTGCTGATGGCGGGAATTGTAAACGCGTAAACATTGCTCAGAATTTCGCGTCGAACGTTCCAAAGCTCCCAGCCCGCGACACAGAATAGGATGCTGGTGACGGTACTGAGAGTGTCGCGAGTCGCATGACTGACCTCGGTGATCCCACTCTCCTCGTAAAGTGACGAGACGCGCTGGCGCACAATACTAGTGGAGCGATCAACAGCGAGAGCAACATCAGCGGGGGTGGCTGGAAGCGCGATGCGCGATGCGACCTCGGACAGAGCGCGACCAGGAGTCTCGACGAGCGCTGTCGATGGAGCTTGGGGAGATGAGGCATCGTCGCTTCTACGGTTCAGAAATCATCATGTTAGCTTAGTTGCTCCAATCGCGACGCGCGATGCATTATTTGTATCGTCGCGCGCGCCCAATTCAGAAGAAGCGCAAAACGCGCCATAGACTCTTGTATGACTGGAGGTCACTCACTCGGGGGTTACTTCTTCCACGGCCTTGGAAGGTCGTCTTCGGACTACCTTCAGAGCATCTTCACGGTACACTTCTTTCTTGACAGGAGATCCTTGGGCCTTAGAGCGACTGTTGAAGTAGCCAGCGAGCTCGGGGTTGGCTAGAAAGCGCGTCGAGTTCTCAGTGAGGAAGTTATCAAGAGCCACACCAAGGTCGTCTTTCTTGTAGCCGTCGATACTGTATGTTCGTGTCAGCACAAGAGTGTTTCATTGATCGCATGGAGGGGTCATGATGGTAGAGTGGGCGCGTCGCGAAAGCGCTTGGACAAGCTTGGGCGCAGAATAAGAACAAAGAAAGGTGATGCGGGCAATATTGGAGAACGGGTGGTGCGCGCGCAAATGGCACGTATATCAGTAGATCGGGGTGAAGTAAACATACTCTGACAGACCAACAGACTCGGCAAGATTCTCGAGTTCGCCCTTCTTCTTGGTCTTGAGCCAAGAGTTGTATCTGTGGTTGGACATGTTGGAGGATAGGTTGAAAGCGAATGCGCATAAAGCGAATTTCAGCAATTGACGGGGCGTCGCAAGTGAAAGTACAATATGTATACGGAGTGGGAGAGTGGGCCACGGCCAGAAGGAGAAAATGAAGCTGGTGATGGTGATGAAGAACAGAGGCACAAGCTCGAATGTGTTGTTTGGGGGGGTCCACGTTGGATGGGGGACGGCTGATGGCTGACGGCTGATGGGCTGGTGAAGAACGGAAGGGCCCGTGTCAACAATGAGCGGCGGGTCCGGTCCCTTGTTTATGTTTTTTTTTTTACTCCCGTGTCTTCTCCTTCGATCTGATGGTCATGCCCCGCAGAAAGGTGTGTATGGTTTGGTTGTGAGAGAAGCGCCCAATAAAAGGGCGAGAAAATTGAAGCTCCTGGGGACTTCCACCTAGGAAATAGGTATCAGTGCCATTCAATTGCAACTCGGGCCAGGGCTCTCTTGCGCCAAAAAAAAAAAATGACCTCATTATTCATCCCCAGCAATATATCTTGAAGGAGCTTGCACCTACGTGCTCCATCCGTAGTGGGGAGCTTTCTATTCAATCCAATATGATGGCAATATCTACCACAATCGATATTGTCAAGATGTCAAATTTGGTCCTTTGGCAGATGCCATTATAAACTACTAACGTAGTCATGCAGGCATTAAACATAACAGTCGACTGTTGACAGTCAAAAGATGGAAACAACTCAAAAACACACTTATTCATGGATCCAAATATGCCGGAAGTAGTAGTATATATTCCCTTCCCGAGCCTTACAGAGAGCTTGGCTACCAGGTAGTAAATGCGAATGCCAGAACTGTACCTTGAGCGAAGTGGTGTAGTCCAATCAACACAGCTTGGAACCGCTCCAGTCATGAGTTTACCATGTATTATACAAACACTATAGGAACACTTCCATTGGCTGTCGTGACTCTAAATTCAGCTCGCAAGTTTTTCTCGTCCTCTCTTGAACAGCCTGACCGGCATATGTCATCACTGATTTGAGTGTTAGCACTGAAGTTGCACCCTACATCTTCTTTCTGCTGCTCGGGTGGGTTTGGTGTAGACTTCGCGCCGTGTCTCTCGACCCATTTGCTCATCACTCGCTCAATCATCTGTAGCCAACTCCAGGATGTGGTCCTTGAACAAAACCGCAAACGTAGCAATGATTTCTTCCTGGGAAATCCGTCGGCCGAGGCATGATCTTGGCCATCACTAAAAGGAGATGAACGAGTCTGCCTCTGGCTAAAAAAGACGTGTGCCTGTAGCAGGGCTCCCAAATTCCTCATCCCGGTGCTGGCACCCTCTGACTCTGTTGATCTTGCTGTTGACTCCTGGCTCTTTCGATACCGCCGCTCTGCGACCCAGCGTTGATGTCATCCTCGCCGTCGTCAATCAGGCTGAGCCGTCCCGGCCACCACTGTGGATTACGGTACGACGATACGGCACCTGACGATATGAATGTCTTGCTCAGGACAAATGACTCTTGTCGTCGACAGTGACGGTCCGACCCTGTTTTGAAACCACTTCTACGGGAGTTTCGAAAACCGCAGGTGTCATTCTCAGGGTTTCTTTAATGCAAACACCCAACATGCTGGCCATGTTGGGGTTGATCGGGTTTTCATAGTCGTACAATGATGGTCACCATCACCACATATCTCGTCAATGGTACCATGAAGACTCCTTTGCGATACTGCGCTGTCTGC